AGGCCATCCAAGTCCTTGCTACCTGGAGGGGCAAGGCTGGTACCCGAAAAGCAGGGGGTGGGTGCTCTTAGGAAGGGGATGTCTGCAGGGAGATGGGGCACATCTCTCTGGGGCAAGGGAGGTGTCCCTTTGTGGAGGAGGTGACAGTTAGCAGGGCTGTGAGCGTTATGTGGGAAGGGTTGCGGCAGGCAGCAAGAACGAAGCAGGCGAAGGCTAGCAGAGGGGTTTTTGCAGGGAAGGGCTCCTCGAGGCGCGCGGTTGGAAGGAAGGTGCCGGCATGTGGAAGAGGACTGGGGGAGGTGAGGTGGAAGGCAATGGGGGAAGGGCTTGGGCATCTCTGCTTTCTCTTCCGTTCTCCAGGCAGCTCCCTCTCTCTCCATCCACGCTCCTTGCCCTGCTTCCTGGGTCCCCTTCCTCTTTAGGGCCTGTGCCTGCAGAATGGAAATAATACCCGTGCCCTCTAACCTGTGGAGCTGTCTGCAGTTTGCAAGGCCTTTTTATGGCCTCAGCCCTTATTGCAACGACTCTTTGAGGTGGTTATTGTTATCTCCATCAGGGGATGACACACCCAAGGCTCAGAGGTAGAAAGAAATTTGCCAAAGCTCACACAGCGCAGGTGGCAGAGGGGGCCTGACACCCAGGTATTCTGACTCACTGTCCGTTCCCTGTCGACGTTTCTGAGAAAATAGTCAATATCTGGCCACATCCAACTCCTTTTCAGATATTCATGGCCACAGTTCAATCGCTGGGAGCGGAGACTCCATTTATTCTGGGTTTTTGGCCGTGATACGAATAGTGGAGGTTGCAGGAATCGTGACTCTCAGTCATTGTTTTGTTGTTGTTGTTGTTGTTGTCGTCGTCGCTGGTATCGCAGGAAAATGGAAGTGACATTTACCAAATGTCAAATGCTTTATATAGTTCATCTCATTCAGTTCTCACAGCAATCTGTAATAGAAGGAGGCGTCTTCATACCCATTTTACAGGTGGGGAAACTGAGGCTCAGAAAGGGGAGCAACTGGTAAGCGGCAGCAGCTGGATTTGAATCCCAGGCTCCCTGACTTCAGAGCCCACGTTCTCTTAGTTGTTCCACAGCTGTCCTTTCGCTGTTGATATTGTCCTCGAGAGTCAGTAGAAGTCCCACCAAACAATGGGTGATTGTTTCTGGAAGCCGCTGCAGGTGGCAGGGAGTGCAGTGGAAGATGCAGTCTCTGGGGGAGGGTGTCCTGGGAGGGACAGGCAGGAGCTGACCCAGTGGAATGTGGTGGTGCCCCGGGCCCGGTGCCCTAGAGGTCAGGTGGAGGGGAGGTGGCTGGTTGGGTCCTCCCCGGTTAATTACCAACTATTTTAGGCATGATGTTTTAAATATCAGAGTCGTGGGCCAGGCACACTTGTTCACATCCTGGAAGGTCCCCGGAGACCCCTTGCTCCAGGCCTCTGGTTTTATAAATGAAGACACAGGCTGAGAGCGAGGCATTGACTTGCCCGAGGTCACTCAGCCAAGTCCAGGACTGAGCTGGCCATTGACCCCTCCTCTTGTAGACACTGATTTTAGGTGAATTTTGGCTGTAGACCAGAACCATATTTGTAGGCCACTTGGACATATTTTCCTTCTTATTCAGAAACTTCTGCACGAAATGCCCAGATTCATATGTTCAGTCGTGTGCTGGGGAAGCTTCAGAGGGAAGGGACAAGCTGTGTCCCAGCCGGGGAGGGTGGGGACCAGGACCGGGGTTTCAGGGCTCAGGGACCTGCCTAGAGCTGGCCGACCGGGTTGACTATCACGTGTTTCAGGCCACCCCAGACAGTGTGATGTTGGTGCCAGGGACACAGTCCCTGACTCTGTGTGACCACAAGTCCCCTCTCCTTTTTGGGCCTCAGTTTCCCCATCAGTAGGACAGAGATGGCCGCTCTTGCCCGCTGACGTCACAAGACTTTAGGGAGGACAGTGTCCCTGAAAGCGTCTGAGACCACAGACTCTGCAGATCTGAGGCCCGGGTGCTGTAAGCTGCTCAGTGGCAGAACCTCTGCCCCTCTGAGCCCTGTGCCAGAGGGCGGGCTGGACAGAGGCAGTGGAGTTCTAGGACCGGCTTCAGCCTGAATGTGGGCTGACACCTGTCACTAGCCCTGGGCCAGCTGTGTCCTTTCTCTAGCCATCCATTCTCCCACCTGCAAAATGCTGGGCCCCGGAGGCTCTGCCAGCCCTGATGTCCTCTTTGTTCCGTTTCTTGGTGCAGTGCAGTGTCTCTGGGACCTCCCGATGGGGGCAGAGCTGGGAGAAACCGTCCTTGCTGGCATCCTGGGCAGAGCCCCTTCCTCTGTCAGTGGGTGGACTGGACACCCCCAGGGTCAGGCCGTCACCCCAGACCATTGGTCCAGGTTCTGGCCCTTGGCTTCCAGAATGCTGAGGAGGCTGGCGGCAGGGCAGCCAGGGCCAAGCCCTTCCTCGTAAGTTTCCATGCCCTGGGCAAGTCCACTCAGGCTCCCCCCACTCTGTGCTTCCTGCAATCTAAAATCCAGGCAAGCTCCTGTTCCCTAAAGTGTTCCCCAGTGCAGGACAGTCTCAGGGGGCAGACTTCATCAAGCCCTGGCTCCCCCTCACCCAGCCTGGTGCCTGGGTCCTCGGGCTATGCAGAACTCTTCTGGGGCCCAGTGTTGTCCAGCTCCCAGGAGGACTGTGGAAGGAATAAGCTGCTCTTTAGACTGGAATGGTCAGTCCCAGGGGAGGGCCCATACAGCTTGTCGCTCAGAAGCCCAGAAAGTAGGAACCTCAGAGCTCAGGCAGCCCCTCCATGGATTCAGCCCCTGCTCCCAGGACACTGCCTGCCCTTGTGCAAGTCCCTCGTGTTGCAGAAGGGGAGACTGAGCCCCAGAGAGGAGAGGTCTGTGGCCACACGGCAAGACAGGGCTAGAACTCTGGTCTGGTGATGGCCCCGCCGTGTGAATCACCTCCTCTCTGGGACAGAGCAGAAGCCGCTGTTCCTCACACTCAGCTCTCCAGGGATTTCCCCTAGAGCGAGGTCTGGGCATCTAGATTTGCCAAAGTTGTAAATCTCTTAAGCTATAAGCCGCTCCTTGGCGTCTCCCAAATGCCCTACTATGAAATACAGATGTTCCTCCTTTTTAAGATCTGAGCCTACTTCTGAATTTCCCATCGTGTTTGCACCTAAGGATGCAATTACCATTTCCTCCTATTGTCCTTTCTGCCCGCCCCTCTGCTCTCAGCTGACGCAGGCGCTCAAACCCACTGGGTGAACACGAGGCTGTGAGAAGATCAGACTGCTTCTGAAAGCTTCGGGGTGGCTTGGGGCCAGTGATCCTTATCAGTCCACCCAGGGCTCCTCAGAGGCTATTTTCTTCCCTTCAGAAGATGCCTGTATATATGCCGCAGGGAGCATTTCCATCAATTCTTCTGCCCAGGCCAGTGCCAGCCACACGCCGGCCTCGTCCGTTTGTCCCCCCGTCCCCCCAGCTGGCCCCTTCCCAGGCCCGCTGGGTCGTTTCTGGCAGGCCAGCCTCCAAGGCCCTTCCTGAGGACCCCCAGCCTCCGTGGTTCTCGGCTGGGCCCTGCAGTGTCAACCCAGCCCGTCTTCTCGTGTGGACCACAAACCTGGTCCCTGTTTGGCCACAGTTAGTAAAATCCACAAGAAAGCCTTTCTGCTATGGAGTCATGGAGCTTGAGTTTCTTAGCTCGTTTGGGACCAGAGTGCGTGTTTTAGGTTTGTGGACTTACGGCAGATTGAGATTTAAAGCATAAAAGTGAGACCAGGTTTTTCTTCTCTTCCACTAAAAGGAAAAACAAACGTCATGACTGCTTGCCTCTTCCTACCTCTGGGCCACCCCTGGGTGCTCTCTTTAGGGTGCAGATGTAGCCCGTGCTGGGTGGGCAGCAGTGGGGTGAGCCAGCTCCCTGGCCTCACATCACCCCCCTGGCGTTACCTCTCTGAGCTTCTTTCCATGTCTGTAAAATAAAGTAATTCCTACTTCACTGGGTGGCTGGAGGTTTGAAATGCTGTCCTCTGAGTGCGGTCTGTAGGTGGGAGCTCCTTTCCTGTCACCCGTCTGTCCCACGGCTCTGTTCAACAATACTGCTTGGTCTCCCGAGGGATTTACTTTGGGGAAAAAGGAATAATAATGTCCTAATGGTGGGCTTTCTAGACGGTAGGATGGTTTTGAGATTTGGGGGCAGGGGGCTTGCCTCCTGGTGCTGGCCTCACATGTGACAGGGCCATTGCTGACCTGACACTGCACCGTTCTGGCCCCCAGTAGCATACAGCCCTAGAAATCTCTTTCTTTCAGTTTGGTGGGGTTTCTTTTTGCAAAGGGGCTTTTCACCTTGTGCCCTTAGGGGGACCCCATTCTGAAGGTGGAGCCACAGAGGTGATCTAGGGTCGGGGGGAACACAGGCCTTGGAGACTGGCAGCTAGATGCCCTGCCAGCTCCATCGCCCACGAGCTGAGTGCCCTGGGCACGTCAATTCTTCTCTGAGCCTCGGTTTTTCTCTCAGGGTTTAGGGAATAATAGTTGTACTCGGCCTGGTACGGGGTCTATGCCCAGGTGGTGGCAGCTGTTGTTTTAGGACTGAAGGAGGCATTAGAGGCTGTTCCTCCCATTTAACCGACTTGCAGACCGAGGACTGGAGGTGGCAGGGCATGTCCCAGCCCCCACCCTTAGGAAGCGACAGTAGGAGTGTGAATGCAGGACGTGGATTCCAAACCCAGGGCCCTTTCTGCTGTGGCATGCTTCCATCACGAACCTCTGGTGTCTGCCGAGGGCCTGGTGGCCCTCTGCAGGCCAGAGTAGAGGCCACTGCCCAGAGCAGAGTGAGCCCCGGACTCCAGCCCCAGGGATGGCACAGAGCACAGAGGCTCAGGTTCCCGCCAAATCCGGAATTTGGGGCCTCAGCCTGGAACCCGAGGGGAGGCCCTGGCCACCCTCGAGGTTTGCCCGGCATCCTGAATCAGGCAGAGGTGTGCTAACAGCCCTTTCTTCTTGCTCTCCAGCGTCCGCCAGGACTTCGACGTCCCCACCAGCCACCTGATTGGAGCACACGGATACTGCACGCAGGTCAGGGCCGCGGTGGGGCGTGGGGTGGTCAGGTGCTTCTTTCCCTTGCGCTTGCCTTCTGTCTTTGCCCCTGCCAGCACTCCCCAAGCAGCTCTCGTGTCCCGCCTCTGCTGGGCTTCTTCCTCACGGAGACCTCGAAAGGGAACTCGGGTTAACTTCTGTTTCTGGAGTTTGCTGTACCCGATCTGTGTGCCTGGAGCTGCAGGAGGTGCAAGAGAGGCAGAGCCAGGTGCTGCCCAGCCCGGAGCCCCGGCATAGGCTGGGAGGCCCAGGCCCAGCTGCGGGGACGACGGCCATGGCACCCTACGATTGTATAGCACACTGTCTTTATGACGACCCACCCCTCTGCATCTTCACAAAGGGGCCCTCAAGTGGCTTCGTGGAAGGCAGGGGGTCCCTTCGCACAACTGCTTGTCATCGATCCTCCCAGTCACCCGGTGGCACAAGGAAAGGGATCTGTTTCAGATCCTATCAGCGAGTGTCGGGACTGGAGCCAAATGCTACACATGACTACTGTCTGAGCCCTTCTCTGCATGGCAAGGCCTCCTGAGCGGCCACCGGGCCACAGTTAAATCTGACCCTCAGTGCATCTGGGGGCGGCGTGTGTAGCACAGACAGGCTGAGCGGAGCTGCTCTGGCTGCTGGGCCCAGCTGAGGACCCAGTTGTCCTAGGGGTCCTGGCTCACTTGTGCCAGTCCTGAAAACATACCTGGGCACCGTGCAAGGGCCAGCTTGGGGCCTGTGGTTTGTCCAAGGCACCCAAGGAGATGTGAGGATGGCTGCTGCTTACCCCCCAGAGAAAGGTTTCAGGCTGAGCGACGGCCAGTGGTGGTCCAGCTCCTGCTCTGGGTGCCCGTGCTCCCCGTGGGAGCTCCCCGACGCGCTGTCAGAGAGCGGTGTGACCCAGGGGTGGGCAGTTAAGCGGCGTACAGAGGATGCAGAACAGAGTCTGGGGCTGGATTCTGAGCTATTGTTGGCAGTTTCACTTGCGGCATGAGCTGGAGTGACTTTCTTCCCCTCCCCGAACCTCGGTCTCCTCATTTGTAGAATGAAGCATTTGGACTAGATCGGTGCTTCTTAAACTTTGATTGTGCACACGAGTCCCGCAGCGTCTTGCTGAAGAGCAGGCTGAGATTCCGTGGGCCCGGGCTAGGGCCTGAGGTTTTGAATTTCTAACAGGCTTCCAGGAAGGGTGATGCCGCTGGCCCACGGACTACACTTTGAGTAGTGAGGAACCAGATGACCGCTAAGCTTTGCCACTGTGTGATTCTGAATCTAGGGGCAGGGAGCGTCCTGTCACTATTTCTCCCCCAATTTTGAGGAGGCTTCCTGCTCTGAGGAAGGTTTTGAGACACATCCCAGATGGGCAGCAGGACCTTTTCTCCCCCTTGAAAACCCAGTGGGAGCACTTGAATGTGTCTGAAGGCCATGCCTTTCTTAGGCAGCTGCTGGCCCTGAGGTGCAGTATCTCAGAGCAGACATTTCCTCCAAATTCTTTCTCGTTTCCTCTGCAAGAACACAGTGAGGCCCCCTCGGTATCTCCCTCCAATGAGGGCCCCTCTGCGGCCATCAGAGGGGCCTCTTTTACTACCTCTGGGGCAGGGATCCTGGGGTTGACGGAGGGGTTTATTAACCTGCGCATCACTCTCACAATTCCGGGGAAAACACTTCTGTGAACTCTGCCCTCCAGAGTTTATGATGGGCAAGGGCTGTTATGGCCATTCCCACGTATCATGGAGGAGATTCCTGCGGCCTGGCCTCACGCAAGCGCCAGCCCTGGCAGAAGGAGTCAGACAGAAGCTCCTGCCCCAGCGCTAAGGCTGGGCTCGCGTGTATCCTTCCTTAGCAGGGCAGCACGTACTTAGCGGTTGCCCTCCGTTTTGAATCTTTGGCTGGCCAGGTGGTACCCTGAGGGTAACAAGTGAGGGGAGAGGGAAGGGACACCAGAAAGGGAGCTGGAAAGTAAGGATGGGAGTCCGGCTCTGTCACTAAGCCGCTGTGTGGCCTGGGCAAATCCTCTCCCAGCTGCGAGCCTGTTTCCACATTCCTGACAGGAAGTTGGAGCCCTGGATGCTCTGCTTGAGGAAGGGCCCTTGCAGCCAACCCAGTGCCAGAGGCACTGGCTAAAGGAGATGGCCAGTGGGTCATAGCTCCACAAGTCACCGTCTCCTGGTTCTGGGGTTGGCAGGCTTGCTGGCCTGTCGGGTGCGAGGCATGAGTCGTGCAGCCATGCAGCCAACAGAGGCAGAGACAGAGCGGGAACCCAGGCTGGGGCCCGCCTGCCTGCTCCTCCCTGCCCCTGCTATCCTCTCCTTTCCTCCCCCCCCCCTTGAAGACCCCGCCCTCACTGGTGAAATCCCAATACGGCCTGGAGCTGAGTTACTGGTGTCACCCCATTGTCAGCTTCCTGGTGTTGATAATGCGCTCTGGTTATGTGAGATGTTATCGTTGGGGGAAGCTGGGTGAAGGGTGCACAGGAACTCCCTGTACTATTTTTGCAACTTCTTATGACTCTAAAATTATTTCAGAATCAAAAAACTTATTAAAAAAATATCTAAGACTTCGAGACCCACCCAAATGCCGCTTGTCCACAAAGCGGCTCCGACTCAGTCATGTGGTCCTGTGTCAGTGTGGGCCACGAGTGCTCTGTGCACACATTGTTATAGCCCCAGTCACATCCTACATTGTGCTTCAGGCGTGCAGGCCCGCACTGGTCCCCCCTCTAGACCCGGACGCCCGAGGTCAGGAGCCACTCTTTCT